GTGTGCTCATGTCAGATCCAGAAATATAGTTTCTGTTGTATTTGCCCAAATTCTCCAGAAATAAGTTATCTGCTGATGTTTATTTCTTTAACACAGCTTCATATTTACAGATCTTGCATTGCCTCTGCATGTGGATCACACATCCAGGAAACAATGTATCAAGTCATTCTTTTATGGTTACTGCAAAATGGGAAAATGTCCTATCCTGAATGAAAAACTGTGTTTGCATCCTCCCAAGTACTTACAATAGTGTACACAAATGCCTTTAACATGTTTAGTAACATTCCAAATTCACTGTTCCTCTGATGCAGGGACAAGGTAAATGAAATCCCTAATTCCATATCGCATGCACTATGACAGTCTTGACTGTAACTTTCAGTAACAAACTGTGGATCTTCATTACTGGGAGCCCAATAATGGCAATTATGCTGGTCTACAAACCTGCTCATGTAAAACATGACTTTATCAAACCAGGTGACTTTCTGGAGAGTAGCTGGCTCATCCTCAATCCAACCAATTATGGATTCTGAAAATTTCACGTTGCAGTCTTTGCACAAAAAACTTTACGTGTAATGCAGCTCCAAGGAGGCCATTTCACTCAGAAATCTGCACAGAAGAAAATTACTTATCATTTTCATACTGACACATCAATTTGCTGGACTTTTCTGCAACACAGCTGCAATCATTTCATTTGCCTTTAGCATTCAAACTAATTTTGACAAGCTTTCTGCTGATTCAGTAATTTAATGTCGCCTTTCTACCTTTCTCTAATGTTATGAACATTTATAATGCCAGCCATTATGAATAATGACTAAAATGATTGAACAGCATGATAAATATTGATTAATTTATTAAATTGATCAGACATTATGAATTTGGCAATATGATTTAAAAACAGAACTTCACTTTTTTCATTAAGAATTATTTATTTTCTGTGAATTATTTCAAACTATTTTAAGAACAACACAATCATTATATGGGTAATATTAATATAGGTATATTAATTACATAAAACTTTTTAATAATCAGCAGACAATATATAATATTACTTTGCACATAGCTTTCAATACCCAATATACAGGGTGATTTATATTAGGTCATCAAGGATGAAATTTGTAGGTAATAATATTGCCAACTGTTGAGTCTGACCCATCTCAGAGTGCCTATAAATTATCATTGAAGTTTGGTGATAGCAAACAAACAATATTAACCCATTTATCACAAACAAATCAGTAAAGTGCAAAAGTTGGATAAGTGGGTTCCACATGAACTGAATAAAAAACAGAAACAAGTGTTTGGAAGCTTGCTTGATGTTGCTTTCTTGTCACAAATCTGATCCATTTTTTAATCAAATTGTCACTTGTGATGCGAAATGGATCCAATATGACAATCGCAAACATTCAGCACAGTGGTTGGACAAGGATAAATCACCAAAACACACTCAAAAGAGCAATATTCATCAAAAGAAGCTGATGGTGAGTGTTTGGTGGTCTAGCACAAGTGTGATCAATTATGATTTCATGAAACCTAGCTCATCAATCACAGCAGAAATATACTGCAACCAAATGAATGAAATGATGCAAAAACTTAAAGGAAGCAGCCTAGATTGGTCAACAAATCGACTCCTATCTTACTGCATCATAATGCTAGACCAGGGGTTGGCAACCTGTGGCTCGCGAGCAACATGCGGCTCTTTAGTTCCATACACAAATATTATTTATTTAAAAAAAAAAAAAAAAAAAAAACATTTAAAAATCGTTCTGAATCGATTAACAAGGATTAGGCACTGATTCTATCTCTCAGCCACTTTTACTCGCTTTTCACTGCACCCCCCCATGACACGTCGTCACTCCGTCGGAAGCTCTCGAATGACGCCGTCGTCGGATGTTTCTATTATCTAATTTGTTGTGAAAAACACTACTTATATATGAATAAATAGATATTTTTTCTTATGAATAAATAGATTAGTTTTTTTTATCAAAAAACTTTATTTATGCGAGTACTATTTATTGTTGGCAAGAAAAAATTTTGTGGCTCTTTAAAAACTTTGAAATTTTGTAAATTGTAATTTTGGCTCTTCCGACTCAAAAGGTTGCCGACCCCTGTGCTAGACCACACACTGCACAAATGACTGTGGCAAAACTACAGAAATTGGAGTTGGAACTTCACCATCATCCTCCATACTCACCAGAGCTAGCCCCCACTGACTACCGCTTCTTCTGCAATTTGGACAACTTTTTAATAGGAAAACAATTTAATTTTGACAATACTGTAAAACTGGGCCTTCCAGGAATTCATTGACTCTCATCCGCCAGGGTTTTATACCACTGGCCTGAACAACCTGCCACTTAAATGGCAAAAGTGTATAGACAATATGGGTGCATACTTTGATGAATAAAATAATACCTTATATTTGTAAGTTATCAACCAACTTTGCCTTTTTTTCCACAAATTTCATCCTTGATGACCCAATATTTATGCACAATTTTTTTTATTCAGCTTCTGTAGGATAAGTATTTTCCAGGTATGCTAGTGACAACCTAGAAAAGGCTTATCGTGTAGAGCATTTACTAGCATTATATGACTGCACATGAACAATTGATGCCTCATTTCCTTTCTTTGTTCCTCATTTCCTTTCAGTGTACCAATAAACACTAAGAATGCATTGCCATTCTAACTTTTATCTTTTTTCTTATAGACATTCATTTTTCTTCTGTACAATTAACACCATGCTTCTATTAGAGGATTATCTTCATTTACAGTAAATTTCAGTAAATATAAATAATTATGTATAAAAATGTTATACTAATTTAAGATTTTAATTATATCTAGTTTTATTCTTATTGTATTTTTATTTGTTTTTGTAGTTTTAGTTTGTATTTTATTCTTATTAAGTTTATACTGTTGTGATTTCATCAGGAAAATTTATTATTTGGAGCAGTCATCATTTCTTTCATTAGTTAAATATGTTAATATAAATGATAAATAAATATAAACAATAAAAAATTGTTTGTTAACTAACAGTTTTATTCATTTCCCCATAATAATCAATTAGGATAGATTCCTTTCAGTATCTTAATATGACAATCTTCTCGTTCTTTATCTTTTTACAAAAAATAAAAAAATTCTAAATCATTGCAAAGTGAAAAAACAATACCATGAAACAAGAATTTTTTATTTTAAATTGCATAGTCTTACTTTGTATTCTAGTCAATTTAATTTCTAATTCATTTTATGTATTTGTTGATATTGATCACTTATTTTGCAATTAAGAAACTAATAATTTCTAACTGTATCTCAACATTTCATCAATATAAATTTTTAATTAAATAAACTTTAAAATCTTAATTGTAGTAACTGCATAATAAAAAAATGATTTTAAATATTAAATAATAAGACAACATTCAAAGCAGATAACAATTCAAATTATACAATAAGTTAATTATAATATTAAACAAAAGTAAAAATATTAATAATACATTAAATTAAGCATATTACTCTTATGTTTCAGGTATATGTTTTAATTAAATTTTAAAGTAATTTTACATTTAAACATTAATTGTCTAACTGTTAAATGCTTAAAATATTATTATATGCAAATAGTACCAAGTAAAACAAATTTTAAAAATGCAGACTATCAGCTGGAAAACACAAACCTAACCAATTAACAATACACAAACCTTATAATAGAAACAGATATAAAAGTTCAGATTTATATCAATATTGTTTGTTAAAAGCTGTTCAAAAAAGGCTTTATATCTATTAGATGTCTTGTAAGTACTGATTTAAATCAATATAATTTTACAGAACAATTAAGAATATTTTTCTTCCAAAAATAATGAAAATATTCATCTTATAAATAGTAAATCAATTTATTTCTTCTTATGAAAGATTAGAACAATTTTAGAGAGGTTTCTGAATGAAATTCCATCTCTCAACACTTTACAAGTAATAAGTATTTCAATCAATTTAATGAAATATTACTATTTTTTAAGTCTAATACTACCAATATTATACAACAAATTGGAGTTCAAAATGAAATGTATACCCAATTAAAATAAAACTATAGTACTTTATAGATCTATAAAATCTCATTAAAAGTTTCTTCAATTAACAATACAAGTGAAATAACATTTAATAACAAAAGGATCCAAATTTATTATATCTAAGAAATGAAGTTTCAAAACAAAACTTTTATTGAATGCCACGTACTCTAATTTCATTAATACATCATCAAACTTACAGTAAAAGTTCCATTACCTAGCACTATTCTTATATGGAAAATACTTATTCTTGACAAGATATCTTCTAAAACTTAAGGACTTATCATAAAAATCTTTATCTGCATAATTCCATTCAAAATGTTCATCAGCCAATAATCATTTTCTCAAAAATACATCATGTTGTCAGATAGTATTGATGAAACTGCTATATTTATTAACTTCACAGAATATATTGCAAGAATCCATCAAAATTTTCTTGAACCTGTAATATGCACTTCTTCATACCACAAATATGAATATATATCATCAATAATTCATTATTGTTCATACCACATCTGAATTGCTTATTTTTCATTTAGCACTGTCTATCACATGGAGTTACGCATATCCATAAACACCAGATAATAAAGCTTTTACTGTATTTAAAACACACACATATTTCTAAGAAAGTTAACAACTTTCTTCCGAATGAAATGAATACATATTGATTAATACCAGATATGTGTATCATGGTACAAAAACAGAAAAAAAATATTTATATTATAAATCTGTTCGTATAGATATATTAATATAATATTCACAACAAAATACTATGGGCTTCATACTTTAGATAATTTTGGCAATATTTCACTTGTATTGATATTCAGATTATTGATATATTCTTTTAGGATCAAATAATAAATATGAAAAAAATATTCAAATATTTTTATAAACTATTAAGAATATATTCTTTATTAATAAGAAAATTAACCAGATTTTAATTTTTAATTATTTTACCTTTACTTTTATTTTCATTAGTTAGTTCCTCCTGTAAAAAAAAAATTTAAAATTTTAATAAACACTCTATTATTTTATATTAAAAATTCAAAAAGTTTTAATTAAAAAGATTTGCTTTCTTAATTAAAAAAAGAAAAAAATTTTGAGCATTTAGTAATTAAAATCAAAATTTAAAGTTAACTGAATATTATTATTGTAGATCTGATATTTCAATATTTTAAAAACTGTGTATGCACTTAGAATGTGACTACCATTTACAAATATTTTAATATAAAGAAATTAATACAATAAGTTATTCTCTCTCTTGCTCTCTCCCCCTCATTTAAAAATATAAACACCAACAGAAACCCAATACTAAGCAAATATACACCCACAACTGCCGTAAATGATTGGGCTATAATTTTGATATAATGATTGTAGATTAGAAATTAATTGGACACTAGAGGAAGGAGTTAAGTGCCATCTTGTATTAAAATTAATAATTATAATTTTAATTACATAAATTTATCTAAACTTTTTAATTAAAAATTATAATTAATAATTTTAATATGAGATGGTGCCTAACACCTCCCTCTAGTGTCAAATTCATTTCTTATCTACAATCATTATATCAAAATTATAGCCTGATCATTTGCAGCAGTTGTGGGTGTATACTCCCCTCATTTATGAAATAAAATACTTGATACAAATACCAGCTAATATTTAAAAGAATAAAATATAATAACAAGTATAATGAGATTGAAATTCTCATGTGCTGATATTAGAAGGTTTATAAATTCCTATTTCTATATTCTTTATTTAATTCAAGTTATAACTTCATTTGCTAATGCAAATGCTATTCATTCCAAAGTGGTTGTATAGTTTAATGAACTTTATCCTATATGGTAGAGCCTTCTTTTGTCAATTACAATTTCATTAATTTAATAGCAATTTTATTTGACCTAATTTTCCATCTTATCTGCTTACTTATTGTCTTAATTGATTTGTTTTATTACCATTAAATAGAGAAAGGTCTGATAACTTATGCATAGTTGCTTCTCTTCTGTTGTATTCACATCTCTCATATTAGCTCCTTTTATATTGGTGAATAATCTAATCAACACTTTATTTAGAATCACTGGTTGAAAGATAAATACATATTTTGTACCACTTTAATGTTATTTTGGAATATAGGTAGGGTGGCTGGGCTATGTGGAACAAGGTAAAAATTTTGTCTATAAGAAATAATGGAAAAGCTTGTTCCTATTTATGAAAAGTTTCCAAGATTAAGTGGGTTCATAAATGCAATCACAATGTATGTCATTAGTTGGTAGATTTAGAAAAATCCAATAAGTGAACTATATATTTTTGAAAAGTCTTCTGTATATCAATAATATATAACAGATTTTTAAGAGTATATTATCATTTTTTTAACTCAAAAATAAATTCTTGTAATTTAATTTTCCAAATTCATTCTAATCATCAACTCTCTTTAATACTGAATTTTAACTCATTTTGATTATTAACATAAATAAAATTATATAATACTTTTATAACTTATAATAATAATAATAATAATACTAAGTTATTTAACAAGTTATAAATTTTTAAGTGCTATGGTATAATCAAATATATTTTAAGTAATTCTTCCAAATTTTTACAAATATCTAAAATAATATGAAGCATTGCAGCTGATTTTGAGATTATTATGAAGATTATGTCTTGTAACACATTCATGGAGGTAACAGTATTGAAAGAAACAATGCGTCATTGATGTATCTAGCTATAAATCTTAAAACAAATTTTATTCTTAAATATATTAGTAACACATGCTTTTTGCAATACTACTATATCCATGCTTCTGGAAGTTAGAGGATTTACTCCTCATGATAACATGAAACAGATTAAAATAATAATAATTTAGAGAAATCTAATGAACATTTCTGTTGCTTAAAACACAAATAAGGATTTTTTCAAAATATTAAATTTTTGAATTTTTGAAAATTCTTAAAAATTTAAACATAAAGTTAAAACTTAAATATAAAAATAAAATGTTTTGAACTTTCTGAATATTGTAACTGATTAAATTTGAAAAAAAAAACTTCATAAAATTTTTATAGAAATTTTAATATAACTCTCAAAGACTTATCAGATTAATTAATAGTAAAAAGTAAAATATATATAACTCATTTAAAATAATACTTTATTAAAATTGTGACTGATTTCAAAAAGTTTAATTTTTTAGTAAGCTGTTAAAATCTTTTCGAAGAATATTATATATTTATTATTCAAAGGATTATACACCAATATAAGCTTGTAGCTAATCATTCAATAACTCCAGTCTAAATTTGATTAATTAATGAATCATAAATTAGAAAAACTTTTAAAAATAAAAATTACAATTTAATTTATCTGTAATCCAAATTTATACATAAAAGGAATCTTAATTACCATATTTTTGTGCATACTACCCAAAGGTTATCTGTATTTAAATCACACGTTGAAGGAGTAACGATTATGCATTGGGTAGGTTACATGCCAATTTAAAATTGTAATTACAAAACTTAACAGCTATGAATCAATAGCTGTTCCATAAACATGGGGTATATGATGTGCAAGTTAAGTGAAAATATTTTATTTTTGTTCTAGCAATTTTCTGTGGATTATATACACCACCATAGGTTATATGCATGAAAATACAATATTCAAAACATTCAGAAATTATTGCTAATTTACAACTACAGTGGTACCTCGGTATATGTCTGCTTTAGAATACGTCAAATTCGGAATATGTCCTGTTTGAATGAAACAAGTTTTGCTCAGTATACGACTTAATTCAATTATACGTGCCATCTATGAACAAGTAGCACTATCGGTGTACTTGACCAGACTAGATGTTCATGGTGCAACGGTTTATAACTTTGTTAAATTTCTTCTAATTTTAATTTGTAAATAAAATTTTATTATTTTAATTAATCATGAATTGCAAGAGGCAAATGAAAAGCAACAGAAAACTAAAAAAAATGACTAGAATCACAATGAAACTGATAAAAGAGATTGTTGAGAAATATGAAGGTGGCACGCGTGTTCAAGATTTTAACTGTTGCATACCGTATTCCAAGAACGACGATATCGACAATCATGAAAAATAAAGACATTATTAAATCTACTAACGTTGTGAAAAGAGTTAAATCAATTTCTAAACAGAGATCAAAGACATTAGATCATGTTGAGAAATTGCTTTTGCTTTGGATAACTGAAAAACAATGTGCTGGAGACAGCATATCGGAAGCAATTATTTGCAAGAAAGCTAAAAAGATACGTGTTGATCTCATGAAAATTCAAGCAGGAACTACCCAGGAAAGCAAGGTGTTTAAAGCCAGCCATTTTTTTATACATGAGAACAAATTAATCATTTTTACATTACTTCTTATGGGAAAGGTTGATTTGGTATACGTCCAATTCGATGTAAGTCCAAACATCAAAATCAATTTTTTAATAATTAAAAAATAAAACAAAATTTTAATGGTCACGATAACACTGTTTAATTATAGTTAACTGCAGATAGTTCCATCTCATTTAACAATAATAATGATATTTTGTAATATCCAATGAGTCAGTCTTACAAAATAGAATCAGATCTTAACTCAATTTTGAATTTTATCCTATTCCATTTTGTTAAAATGAATTCAATTATTTCTTTTGTAACTAAAAAGACTTATGATTTTATAAATAAATCACTTGTAGAATGGGAAATTTTGCTAATTTTAAATTTACATTTTAATTCATTATAAAAAATTTATATATATATATCTTTACAATATATATATTTAAATCATTAATATCTTAATAAATTTCATTCAGTAAACTTAACACTTAAATACTATAGAAAAATTTTATTTATATGTTTTCACAGGTTGAAGATAGCAACTCAAATGGAATTCGCAGAAATTTTTATAATAAAGTTCTAGAAAAATCTTGTAAAGTTTTATAAAGTGAGAAACAAAAGCTTGGTAAACTAAGAAAACTAAAAGAATAAAAAAGACAATACTGAGGAAAACTTCTGTGTACAAAAATTTAGAATAATAAACAACTGCTAAAATTTTGGTTACCAAACAGATTATTTAACCAGAAACATTTTCAACCATGTCTTTAATCATCTTCAGCTTACAGAATAAATGGAATAAAATTGTTTTAAATTTAAAATGTACCAATTTGAATTAAGAAAAATAAAAACAAATAAAGTAAAAAAATCAAAAGAACAACTAAAAACTAAATAAAATAAAAAAAAACCTATATATAATATGTAATTTAGAAGAACCTTCAACATCTATCCATGCATATATTGATAAATATATTTGTGCATTTTTAGCTCACAAAATTATGAATCATTCACATCATAATTTTTAATGGAATTTATTAAGAAATGATCATTACTGTATGAGTTATTAATTCCAGTAATGTTTCTATACATTTATTAGATAGTTTAAATTTAAATTAGTAACAGTTTTTTTGGATAGTTTTCAGTGTATTTTTTATATATTTATAGTCTATCACTAATTATGTTTTTGCTAAATTAAGAAAAATTCAAGTTAAGGAGAGGTCCTATGTAAAAAAAACAATCATCCAATATGAAAATGAAGAAGAGATGTGCAAACTTGAACAGAAAAGAATCCATCTCCATTTTTTAAAATCAATGATCAGCCAAGTTACTGCAATATCTTGCCAGCAAATTTCTTATACATAAAATGAGTTATTTTAATATTTTAAGGAACAAACAGAGGGAGAAGAATCCCTCAAGTAGAAATGAATTTTACAAGATTCTCTCAAGACACAGTAGAATTAATGTACACTCACCAATAAAAAAAACCCAACACACCAAGAAAGAATTTGAACTGAAATTGACTGTAACTGTACATGTGTGAATGTAATGTAGATATAAGTAAGTGATTAAAATATTATTATTAGAGAAGTTTACTGGAGAAAACTGTACACTACACAGGAGGCTCTAGTACTCTTTTAAGCTGTCTCTAGCCTGGACACAGGATGAGATACTGTCAGGCATGTAGGCATAAAGGTTCCATATGGTATACTGCAACACATTTGTCCACAGATGTTGCAACTAAGACTCTAGATTCTGTGCACTCACGGGCTGATCCGATAAATGCTCAATCAACAATAAATTTGAAGATCAGGCAGGCCAAGGAAGTGTGTCAATCTGACAAAGATACTCTTGGAAAATCATTGCTATGTGTGGACAAGCATTATCCTGCTGAAAAATGTCTGTTGGAAGCCATGCCATAAGAGACAACACATGTGGTCACAGGATGTTAGTGTCTCTCATATCACTACCAGGGTGACCTGACTGTCATACATGATGGCTCCCCAGATCATCCACCAGCATTTGGGGCAGTGTGTTGCTCCACTGCAAAGTCAGGACTGAAGTACTCACCAAAAGACTGAATACTCATACATGAACATGACTGTTGTTGGGTCCCAAACTGAACCTGGATTCATGACAGTTCCAATCTGTAGCAATCCAGATTTTTGCTCAAAATACCATTGCAAACAAAGATGACAGTGACTGGCTATCAATGGCAGGGCACATAATGGGTGCAAAGATACCAAACATCCTTCTGCTAAGTGTTCTATTCATGCAGAGAAGGCTTCTGTGATAAAGGTGTCAGATGTCTCTGAATGGTGAACAAGAAAATTGTTGAATCTGCTTGTGTTTGTTGGCAGATCAAATGATCTCTCTACTGGTGGTCTATTGGGCCATCTGAAGCCTATTTATGGTATGTGCATGACCTCATGTAACCAATGCTCCAACACCTCTTAACAACTACATCAAGGGTCACCAAACTACAGCCTGTGAGGTCAGTTCATCCAGCCCGCCACTGCACTGTGTCAAAAATGAGCTAAAATATAATTATTTATATGGCAATATCATATATTGTAGATAAACTTATTATATAGAAAAAATTTAAATAAGTGTAAGTAAAAATGTCAAAATTGGTCCAGTCTGATTTTTGCATTTGATCATAATATAATTTTTAGGAAAATCAGTGAAATGAAAAATTTGGTGACTTTTTGTGACTTTGGATATCATAATGCATTTTGTGTAAGTACCTGAAATGAAGTTTTTAAGAAAAGCAATTACGAGCTTGCTGCAACAATCATGTTTATTCATTGGTAAATAAATATGTTGGGTTTCTTTATTTTTTGTGTATTCAGTGTACAATATCAAACAAAATGATTTTTCTTCACTATTTCTCCCCAGCGGCACTAACTCGTAAGAGGGTCTCTTATAGCAAGCCCATTATGGGTTCGGCCAGGCCCACAATGCGACGGATAGGTGGTGAGGGACAGGGACCAACATATCTGGTTGGATCATCCCCCAAAAAATCCCCAGGAATTTTCAGGGGTGATCTATCCACATTTGATCTCGGGTCCCCCAATGCAGTAGGCTGCAACCTTGACCGCTTGGCCATCTGTCTGTCAAACAAAATGGTTTTGTGGCCTGCACTCGTTCTTCTCTGTTATATAGCCCGCTATGAAAAAAGCGTGGTGACTCCTGATCTAGATGATAAGCAATTCTTTGAAACATCCATTCCATTTCTCTCTGTCCAATGATACACCCCTTCTCAAAGTCTTAACTGAACAAAATGTCTTCAACTATATCACAGAGGAACATCTAGCAGCCAACAATCTCTCAACAAATGAAAAACATGACACACACTACAAAAAGTAGTCTGTGAGAATCTTTAATAGTAGAATAAAGGTAGCACTGTTATATCCTCAGGTGGCAAGACACAACGTAATCATTTACATATCTGCCTGAGAGAACTGCATGCACAGTTTTTCAGCCATTGACATTTTATCTGCATTATTTTTTTTTATCAATGAGAGTATCTTGCTGGAAATACATAGGAATGCTAAATCAGTGTTTGTTAAAAATTCAAAGAGAATTACAGATATTAGATCTGAAACTAAGTACTTCCCTAGCATAAGGTTGTTTCATGAAACAATGTAGTTTTGAAGATGCAGCATCCCGGCGTGAATATCGTATTCTGTACCAAACCCTTAAGCGGTTGAATGGCAGAACTAGGTCAACAATGACCACATAAAGAAAGCAGATGGAACATTCGTAAAATCACCCAGTGAATGCCTACAGAGATGGAAATATCATATATCATAGATCTATAATATTTCCATCATCTTTCAAAAACTATATAATCATGATCCATAGGGAACTCTGGCAGAACCACCATCTGTTGACCCTCCAGAGATTCCACTCTCCAATGATGACCCAATGATGAATGAAGTAAAAACTGCCATCTGATCACTAAAAAATGAAAAAGCACCTGAAATATATCAAGTCACCACTGATGTAATCAAAGCTGGAGGGGATATCTTATTACATCAACTGCATGCACCCCTGGCATTGATCTGGCAGTTAGCACATGTACCAATAACATGGAGGAAAGCTCTCACTGTATCAATTTTGAAGAAAGACGATAGTCACGAATGCAAGAATTACCGTGGTATTAGCCTCCTTTCCATCATCGGTAAAATTTTAATGAAGATCCTTCAACTCACGTTGCAGAAATACCATAAACAGACCAGCAGAGAACAACAGGCAGGCTTCAGTCAAATTTTTACTCCCAGCCAGCTTATAGAAAAAAAAATTAGAAGTAGACACCGGACAGTCATTGTCTTCAAATCTGCATTTGACTGCATCCACTCGCCAGCCCTATGGAAAACACACTAGAGACTGAACAAGTCCCTCAGAAGATCACTTGACTGCTCCAGACTTCATATTGTGACTTGACGAGCATAGTGCAGATCCAAACTGAACTTTCAGAGGATTCTCCATCCATTATGGTGTCTGCCAGGCTTTGTTGAAGAGCAGGGGGAGACATCTCGTCCCCCCTGCTCTTCAACACAGTGATCAATGCAGTTATGAAAAAAAGCATTTGAGGACAGAAATGGGGTATGGTATGCTTAAAACAGCTTTGTGGCTGATGTTTGTCAATGTCAGTGTCCTGTTTGCCTACACTGATATTGAGGCCACCAATGCTCTCTCTGACATTGCTTGTACTGCCCAGTCATATGGCCTAAAAATCAATGTAGATAAAACCAAAGTTCTATCACAGATGGATCGCAAGCCAATATTCACCTAAATGGAGTCGTAATTGAACCAGTGCATGAATTCAAATACTTGGGATCATTGATCCAAGAGAGGAAAGTGTCATCTACCTCTGATATCAATAGTTGTATAGGTAGAGAACCTTGGCATTTGCCTCACTAAAATGATGAAAATAAATACGATAATTATTTGTGTTTGAATTACTACTAATAACTACAAGCACGGTTTCAAAAGTACCACTAACATTGCACTTAAAACTAAAATTCACCTATTTTGAACATTAATCATATCAATTCTTCTCTATGGATCTGAAACGTGAACTTTACTCAAACCAGACCTGATAAAACTCTAGGTTTTTCAAATCAACAGATCCTGGGTGTTACCCTTCACAATTGCCTACAAAATGAAATTATTCAGACCTATTGCAACAATCAGCCAACTGTCAAAGAAACCATCCAATTGAAAACATTGAGATGGTTTGGCCATTTCTAGAATGGACACTGCCAGATACCATATAATATCCTCTGGCAAAATCACACTACAGGCTGGAAAGTATGGAAAGAAGTATCTAAAAAGACATGGTCCAACCAAATCAAGAAGGATCTGTAAAATCTGTGACTAAGCCTCAATGATGCCAAAACTATAGCCATGGACCAAAAAACGTGAAAGATCATTATTAGTGCTGTCCAAATTCATGCAGCACCTAGAGCTGTGCATAGGCTCCAGAAGAAACCCTGTCCCAATGTTAGATAAAGAATAAAAGAAAGAAAGAACAAGTTTTGTAAATCTTAAAAATCTTTAAAAGCTAGAGGAACTACTGTATGGTACTAGAATATGAATCTATCAAAAAAGTTTAAGGAGTAATGTTATTTTAAGACCTGAACTTAGCTGTACAATGGAAATAGCTCAAATACTTTTCTATTGTATAAAAATTTGTCTTTTTTATTGTTGGTAGAATCATCTATTGTTACTAAAAGAACATTTTTGATTTTTATTTATATTTTGATATATTCATCTCCATGATAATGCAATTCTTTTTTAAGCATCCTTGATGATAATTGTTCAGGATTGAAAGCACATGGACATATTTTTTTAACCTATTAAAACAGTTTTTATTTTGTTTAAATTTTTGGTTTTGTTTGCTACATGACTATCTTATAATCTTATTTTTTTTTCAATGGACACACTAAGTTATATTCCAAATTATTTAAAAAACTAAAAATTCTAGGCAACATTTCATTTGTCAAAATATTCAACTGATGGACACAAAATACTGTTATCCTGAAATGTACTGTATTTTATTATGAAAGAAAGAAAGAAAGAAAGTTTATTCCCATGAGAAATATATATGTGAATAATATATATACTAATATTTATAAAAAAAATTAGATAAGTTATTTATGTAACTGGATTCTAATAATATAAAGTTCATACACTTATTAGACGAAATTTTTCTTACATAAGTCTTTGTCTAATAAGTCAATGTCTATCTTGCAAAGTCTAAAATATTATATGTACAAAAATTTTCACAGTAAATAATTACTATGTATTTAAAATTTTTCTCAAAACAAAATAAAAAAATTTGTGAACTTTTCTTAATTTACAGTTTCTGATTTCCTCAATAATAATAATAAAAAAAAAATTTTTATGTAAACTGTAAGTTGATTTTTGTGTATGAAATTAATTAAAAAGTAATCTTGTTAAAGAAAAAAGGAAAGCACAATAACATCATTTTGATCTTACTTCTTCATTTAAAAGTTTCTCTTCATCTTCAACCGATAGCTGAAGAGAATCATCAATTATTTCCATATCATTATCATTCTGAAAAAAATTTTTCTATAATTATTAATTATAAAAATAACATTAATACTACATATACTTTGTGTTCATATTTTAATCCAACTTTTCAGAACACACTAAAACAATTTTTATGTATTAATTAATTTTTCAATCTTGACAGCATTCAGTCTCCACATTAAATAAAAACTATATTATCAACAGTAATTGAAATGTATTACTTATAATATTTCTAAGCTAGTTTCGATAAAACCAAAATACGAATATATTTTAGAACATACTAAATACATTTTAAAAGAATTTCAAAGTTAAGAAATAAACAAAAATTTTGAAATTATAACTGGAGTATAAACAATTTTAAAATTTATATTTCACATGTTTTCTTAACAATATAACTAATAATGTTTGAATGTAAAACAGACATTACATACAGTAAAATAAATTTAAAACATATTCAAGATAAGTTGAAAAAACCTATTTTAAATTAGATTTCTAAAAAATGTTATTTTAGACTATTATTAACAAATCTTAGTCAAATGAATAAAATATCTAAATTTGTTATATATACAGGGTGGCTATAATTAAAGCTTCCTTATTCAGAGCACTCTGTAACAGTAACCAATAAGCAAATTAACACCAAAATCTACACACAAACTATGCAAAGGATATGGAAAATTATTTTTACAAAAGAAAAAAATTTTTTTAGTTCAAAAACTTATGATAAGAGGTGTTTTGGCATGTACAGTTTTGAAATATGATTTATCATGGAAATGTTGCAACTTTGGCAGACTTAAAGGATCATATTACACTGCATGTAAGAAGCATCACAAGAGAGTAGTTGCAATCAGTTATAAACACACTGTTCATTGCTTTCATATTTTACATCTGAATAATGGGGCACACATTGAATAACATTCCTTACATCAGTAAACAGCCTCTTCAGAAAGTATGTCTCTTGCAAAATGAATAAATGTGTTTTTATTATGTTTTTGTTTTTGTTGTTCTGTTTCATGTATTTTCCTGTTAAAGTGCAATCTAGCTGAAGTTTTTGAACTAAATAATTATTATTTTTTTTTGTAAAATACTTTTCTGCATTGCAATTGGTTACAGGTACAGTGCGCTCTTTAATAAAGAAACTAATTATGACTAACCTTTAATAATACTAAGTAGAGATAAAATTATAATCTTCCCAGCTGTAATTTTAAATCTGATTTACCTTCCAGTGATGGGATAAAATAAAATAAAAACAGAAAATACAAAAATGTTATAAATAATTTTGTGAATCATAAATACAGTAGAACCTCGATTATCCGAACTAATTGGGTATGAAAATAGTCTGGATAAGGAAAAATCCGGATAATCGAAAAAATAATAATTGACAGTGAAAAACATGTACATACAGTATGAATAATTTTTATTTGTCTAGATTTACATTTACTGTAGCTTCAATATTAAATTATTTTTTATTAAGAAATTCAATTATTGTTAAACTTCATAATTTTTTCACTTTGTTTTTTTATATCTGAGATCATTGACGTTCCAACACCATATTTATTAGATAATGAACGTCCAGACTTACCGCGTTTCAAAGCATTGCCTATTGTTTAAAGGCATCTGGTGGCGCAAGAAGACGGATTTTATAAAATACAGTAAAAAGCAGTTGAAACTGTCAAATTTTTATTCATAAAAATGCAAACTATTTATCGTTTTATGATGAGTAAAATTTTTTCGTCACATTCACGGCTTTTAAGTAATTCATAAACCTTTGAGACGCAAGGCTCCTCGGACCACAAGGTCACGTCGACCATGCCTTACGCCGCCCTTGTCCATAGAAATGATGTAATTTCAATATAAATTATTTATAAATATGTATGTCAAGTTATATTTTTATTACAACGCAAAATGTATTAAAAAGTTTATGACCACTGTGCCGGGTGAGACGTTGTTGGAAAAAAAGAAGTTATGTGTTCCATCATGTACATAAAAAGTACTGCAATTCGCCAAGTGCAAATTAGCAAATTCGTAAAATTTTGAACAATCCAGATAATCGAGGTTCTACTGTACTTATAATCCATAAAATTAGAAACCTTTATTATAAACAGCAAAATATTACTTTAGCATAAACTATTTTTTTTGTTATATATAAACTCCCCTCCAAAAAATAATAACAAAAGTGAAAATCAGACAAATCAGAAACTATTCCAGCAGTTTATTTCAAATTTTACAGTAACATAGAATAGGACTTTTTTTGTGCGCTAATAGAGAGGTTGAGGCGCACGTTTTAAACATGTAAACGTGTACGTGTGACGTTCGGCGCCGCTTTCCCGTAAGCCTAAAAGTTTGACAATGGTGTTTGGATAGTCAGTGGAATCACGCTCGACATTTCAAACACCATCGTCAAACTTTTAGGCTTACGGGAAAGCGGCGCCGAACGTCACACGTACACGTTTACACGTTTAAAACGTGCGCCTCAACCTCTCTAATAATAGGCAGCGTTTTGAATGTATAGTGTAACATATTAGGTCTGTGCATGTTTGAATCATTTATTCCAGTGTTTCTCAACGGGGGCGATTCTAACAATTTATATTTTGGGGGTCAAAAACCAATTTTCTGGGAGATATAGTAAAACATTATATTAAGAATAATTGTAAGGTTGCCGACTGAAAGGGGGAAACAATTTATCTCACGTCAGAATGAGCCTAAGGGAAACTGCTTATGTGGGTGGTGGCAAAGGAGGCAAATGAAGAACAAGTGTTTTACAAAAGAAAACCCATTTATTTGTTCGAATTCATGCTTACATCGATATTGGACAATTCCAAAATCTCAGTGCTCCTGTGAAACGGCGAGTTTGGGTATCGGTCACAGCCCAGGCAGTCGAGAAGGATCACTGGACAATGCAGATGTTCTGTGTTAAGCTGCAGTGTCCTAAGTGATTGGCGGTTGCACAACACAATAGCCAAAGTACAACTATAGGCTTAATCCAGAGGAGACTCTCCTTCGACCTTGAAGTTCTGATTTTTATAGTTTTTCCCCCCACTATTCGCATTTCAGATTGGTCCCTTGTCCCATTCCTCGCTTCCCGATTGGTCTCTCCTTTGTTTCCAGGTGCAAGACAAAACTTTTTCGGGTCGCGGGAAAGATCCGATTTGAGGTGGCCATCTGATACCTCTTTGTCGACTCTGCTCGGTGACTGTTTATAAAACAATAACACCTGCACTCATAACTCAAGCCGTTGTTTATCATTTTTTGACGTCTAAGAATTTAATGATCATTTTAATCTATCAAAAATTTCCCTTTTTTTTTGTTTGATAAGGTTTATCTCGGCCAACATTTTATAGACACGCAAGTCAATGATTTACCTATTTATGAGCGCTCGTGTTAAGAGTTTGTCTTCTGCTAAGACCTTGACAGATAGTTTGACATATACTCGAACAGTTCCGAGTCTCATTGTTTACATCTTGTGTCGCGCAAGAATTTCACGGTTTACTTGAGTTTGAACCTCATCTGGAAACTCACATAATTAGATATTTTATTCGTTACATCATACAATAATTAAACAAATAACATACTAGTCACTAGTCTACTCAATGCAGTACGAATTTGGCGTTAGCCTTGGCCCTCGGCATCATAATTTTGAAGTGAAGGGTCGATACTACAGAACGGTTTCATTGAAGGGGGTGACGATTCATTAGAGGTTGAGAAACACTGATTTATTCACTTCAGAACATAGCCAATACTTTACCACCTAGCTTATCAAACTACTGTAATCAAAAAGTATCACAAATGGTTCATTTAAACTGCTTGCATGGAAGAGGCTTTCTCGTTTTTTTATTGTTTGGTACGACTTTCACTTACATCCAGTAACAACCTGTATGTCCTCATCCATTTTTGCTTGCAAATAGATACTTGTTTTGTGTGTAAAAAATTTTTGTGCTGGCAATTTTTCAAAATGTTGAATGTAATTGAGCAAAAAACATGTATTAAATTTTGTTTCTACAACAGAATTACTACTACAAAAACATTGAAAATGTTGCAAAAAGCCTTTGTGATGATAGACTATCAAAAGCAAGAGTTGTCAAATGGTATAAAATTTGAACATTTTATACCACTTCAAGGAAGGCAGAGATCATTTTGAAGATGAACCATGTTCTGACAGACTATCCACTTCAACTGATGAACAACAAACCACTCAAGTCAGAGATGTGGTGCTCAGTGATCAATGTTTAACAATTAAAGACATTACTGAACATGTTCCAGAATGATTTGGACCTTGTCAAGTAATCTTAAAAGATCACTTGGGCTTGCAGTGCATTGCATCTTGAATCATCTCAAAAACATTGAATTTTTTCCAAAAAATGTGTTCAAGTGGCTGAGGAAATGCTTTCTTGAGGCAAATTGTTCTAAAAAGCATCATTACAATAATGAAACACAGATCACTGAAATGGCTCAACAATCAAATGAATGGCACTCAAACGCAAAGCAAGACTGAGAAGACCACATCAGTGTCAAAATTCAAGGTCATGTTGGCTGTTTTCTTTGATTGTTGTGCATCACCAATTCCTTCAAACTGGTCAAACTGTCAACAAAGAATATTATTTGGGCATTTTGCATCATTTGCATGAAACAATTTGTAGAAAACAACCTGATTGTGGGAGAAAACTAATGGATTTTGCATCATGATAATGCACCTGTGCTCATATATTTTTGGCCAAAAATTCAACAAATACAATTCTGCAAAAACCATAAATATGGCATCATGCAACTTTTTCTTGTTTCCTCAATTAAAATTTCCACTTAGTGATCACCATTTTGAGTCAAATGATGCCATAAAACAAAATTTGGTGAAAAGTCCTAAAGGGATGTCACAAAAACAACTTTAAAGCATGTTTCAAAGATTGGAAAAAAAAAACAAAACACATTGGAATAAGTTAAATTGAACTGCCTTCAAATAGCTGGAATTTTTGGTTAAATTACAGAAACATACTTTTCACACATTTCTAGCATTAACTTTACACACTAAAATG